ATTTGGGGTTGGCTCGAGGCCCCCACTGTCTTCTTATTTGTTTCTTCGACCCGTGTAGACCAAGCCTTGAACCAGTTGCGACGAGCAGAAGGTTTGGCTTTGGGTTTGGCTCGAGGCCCCCAGTTTCCTCTAAACGCCTGAAAGGATCCTGAAATGCGAGGTGCCTCCTGGTCTGAAATCCCTGGGAGGTCGCTGAAAGGCCCTTGCAAGGCCCCTGCAAGGCGTCTGGGAGGTTTCTGGAAGTTCTTGGGAGGTAATGGGAGGCAGGCCCCTGGGGGCCCCTGGGAGGTTCCTGGTCTCGTGTGAGTCTCTAAAAACCCGAAACCTGAAAGCTTTCCTGCGTTTTGCCCTTGAGCTCATGCACCTGTCCTGCGGCTGCCAGGCCTCCCAGTCCCGACATTCGCTGGCAGAGGGGCCTCAGGGGGGCCTCGAAGGGCCTCAGAAACGCATCTGAAACGAACGATTTCGAGGTTTCTGCGATTTACCCGAAGGTTTGGGGTATCTCATTCTAGGGCGACCTGACGGGTTGTTCGCCAGCAGCCTGCCGGGCATACCGCGCAGCCCGCAGCTGCCTGCGGGACTGGAGCTCTGTCGCCCGCTGGACGGCCCCGGGCTCACTCAGTTTCGGGTTTAGTGTTTAGGATTTAGGGGTTTAGGGTTTAGGGTCTAGGGTCTAGGGTTTAGGGGTTTAGGGGTTAGGGTTCAGGGTTTAGCATTTGGGGTATACTTACGGGCAGCTAAATTAGGGAACCTACTATCCTGCAAACTTACATGGAACCCCATATAGCCCTATTTCAAATGGAAGCATGACTTCTGGAAGATTCCATAGAAATTGAGTGTGCCTAAATACATTGTAAATCTGGATTCTGAACAATGCCCAGGCTCTCTATCTTGTAGTCCGCAAGAGTGCACTCGTCCTTCAGTTGCTGCCCTCCGAAAATCAACCTTTGCCGATCCACTGGGCAGCCTGCATGGGACGGGTCTGACAACGTCAGGGATCTGTTAAGGTACGCGGGCTAAAAGGTTAAGGGTATTGGGTTTCAGGTGCTTGGGGTTAAAGAGTTTAGGTTCAGGGTTGAGGTGGTTTGGATTCAGAGGTTAGCCTGAAAGTGCTGATGTCATGCTGCACCCCAACAAGAGAAGCCCCAGACCTGAAACAAGGAGCACCCCCAGAGTGGGCTGGCGGAACGAAGGAATGAAAAACATGGACACGTCTAACCCTAAACCCTAAACCATAGAATAGGGGCTACTGTAGGGATCCGTTCCTCCCTTCGCTACCAACAATCAATAAGAAAAAGGGCCCGAATGCTAAAGGCCTTTGGAAGCCCTCAGCATGCGGACCTTTTGAAATCCGAGCTTCTTCTATCATGGTTCGGGTTTCCATCCCCTCCCCGCTTAACCCAGCATCCCGCCCAGCAATAACTACTCCCCAGAATATACGAAGGTGCTACATTGGGGCAATTTGCTTTTAGAGGGCTCGGGGGAGATTGGTATGTGGTGCGGGCTCAATCAAGACTGGCAACAGCAGGACTGCAACATGGAACGGAGTCCCGTTTTAAGCACAAATGCTTTTGTGGTGAGCCAAGTTAGAGATGCACTGGCAAATTCTGACTCCTTATCTTCCCCAAAGCACGTCCATTACTCGCAACTCTGAGTTTGCAACCTAGACCCGATTCCCAACCAGGAGCAATCCTGCTTAAACACCAATCAAGTACCCCACCTTCTGCTTGGAACTCTGAGTGCAGTCAAGACTAGAAAGAGTAGGATCTAGGTTTATGCTAACCTCCACTAACACCCACAAGTACATTCACCAGAGTTCCGAAGGCCGACACCATAGGGAAAAAAGTATAATGAATTCTCTCTGTACTCAGGCTGCACATCCTCGACTAAACTGATGGGTGGAGATCCTAAACCCTCAACCCTAAACCCTAAACCCCTAAACCCTAAACCCTAGACAAAACTGAAATCATGCCAGGCACCTTCTCTCTCTTGAAGCGTGGCTTTGACACTTGCAATGCTGTCGCTGGGTGACACGTCCAGGGCAATTCTCTTGCATGTCAATGTTTCCTAGGGCCCATCAAAGTCTATGAAAAGGCTCAGTCTTCAGGGCTCAACAATATTGAATACGAATCCCATTCTCAGGTCGTTCGGAAGGGGGGGACTTTGGGGCATACTAGAACTCTTCTTTAGGCTAATATCTCCCGTAATAAGCCCTAGAGTGATACCCCTCTATACTCCCCCATATAGCCCCCTTTAAGGAGTTTAGACTACGGCTCAATTGGGGCTGGTATGGATTCCTGACTGGCCACTGCTGTGAGAAGAACTCTGAAAGTATCTTGAAGGCTGAACGTGGATGTTGTCAGGATTTGCATAGGTGGCCTGTACCAGATGGCAACTGTCAAATCGCCAGATGGAAGTCTTAACTTAAAGGCCCTAAACCCCTAAAACCTGAACCCTGAACGCCAAACCCTAAACCCAAACCCTAAACCGGATGGAAAGTAATTCTTACAGGTGCCAATAGGGGGTTTACGGCTTAGGTTTTGGGAATCCGTGGGCCTAAGTGCGCAGTGCGCCATAGTCTAAACTCCTTGGGTTTAGGGTTATTTGGGGTTTAGGGCAGTTTAGGGTTTAGGGTTTAGGGTTCTAAACTCCTAGCATCCCCCTTAATAACCCCTAGAATGGAAAATCAAATGGAAAAGATAATGGAAAATGAAATGGAAACTGGGATTATAGAGGGTGGATTGTAGGTAGTATAATCTAAGCTCCTAGTATCCCCTAAATAATTCGTACAGTAGTCCCTTATACAATCCCCTATGTAGCCCCCTTTAAGGAGTTTAGACCCTAAACCCTAAACCCTAAATAACCCTATACAATCCCCTAGATAAGCCCCCGTTAAGGAGTTCAGACTATAGCTCAGTCAAGAAAAAAGAAAGCACGCTCAAAAAGGGCGAAACTCAATGAAGATCTGCATGTCGCCCCTCATGCGAGGGACCATGTGCAGAGTAGATCCATTCCTGGGTTGCTGTTAAGGAACGTAAATTAAGTTACCATAATGGGTATATATAGTCATTAATATGGTCTCCCCAACATAGTAACTTAAATTGAGTTCCTTAACAGAAACCCAGATTCTGGATGTTGAGCTCTGACCTTAGCCCCATTACCCTAGGACGAAAAAGGGATCCTTTTTACACAAATATAAGCAATCCCATACCCCAGAAAGTAGAAAGCATCCCTAACATTGATCCAGCGACAAGGTTCCAGAAGTCCATGCCCTTCCCTCAAAGAGGAATCTGTAGTCGTCGGGCGGAATGCCTTTGTGAAGCTTCATTTACTAAGCCCGGGCCAGCTCTGAGTTCAACACTTTGGAGGTCCAGTATTTCAGGGAGTTTTCCTTTGTACCCTTAGGGTGTGTACCCTTGGGTTTGGGTCCCTAGACCGTGGAATATGGACCAAAACCTAGGGTTACAAACATTAAGGGTACAAACTTAAAGTCTTTGGGTATTCGAGATCTATGCTTTTAGATCGTAGTTAGGAGGCTTCCATGTGCAAGAGCGGGCCTACTCTTAATCAAGTTAGGTCCCCGTCTATATTCCTACTGCCCCGCCAAAACTGCATGGGGGCCATGGGGGGCCTAGCTAAGCCCTAAACCCTAAACCCTAAATCTTAAACCCTAAACCCCAAGGGGTAGCTATGAAGGGCAAAGGAAGTCCTTCCAATAATCACACGTATAACCAATAATGTTACTGACAGCCAACATCTATCCCCCCTTGGCCACTGCAGACATGAATCAACTTCTATCGAGATACCCTCTTTGTCCTGAATCTTGGCCTTGACATTCTCAATCGTATCGCCGGGCTCCACATCAAGAGCAATGCTCTTCCCCGACAAGTTTTCCGCAGAAATCTGCATGGCTAGCTGAATGGTCCGCTCCAATTCACCAGGCAGTAGGGAGCTCGACTGTTGTGGTTCCTTTTCTTGGGGTCACAACTTGTGGAAGTAATCATGTAGCGCATCCGCAAGATTCATCAGATCCCCCGTCAAAGTATCCTCAGGATGTAAACAAACCTGCACGGCTGCATTCTTCTGCGCTCCAGTTGAATTGAAACACCATTATCTGAACTAGGACACCCTGCCAACATGCCCAAATCTCTGTAAGCCGCGCAGCCCAAAACCCCTCATTCCAAACCCTGGACACATGTATCAACCCCCATCATTTCAAAAAGTTTGCACTTTGGATGGCTGTAGCTGGTGTAGGCAGGTATAATACGGAAAATGAGTCTTATACAGAACAGTAACATGGGACGACGAGGATATTGCCAGGATATAAGTTGGATAGTTGAAGTCAGAACCTGGGGTTCAGCATGGCTCTCAGATTTTCTGAAAACTGGCAGCTGCGAGCAATGACCCTTGAACCCTAAACTGTGTCTGCATCGCTTCTGGGCCCTGCTGTCTTGGGTAACTTGAGCTGGTGGCATCAAAGACATAGAGTTTATGCGTCTTTCCCCGAGGCAAGGGGAGATATGATTCTGAAAGCCCGCCTACGAAGGACCCTCAAAGTAAAGAAGTCGCCAAACACTACAACGGGTTCTGACGAGCACAAACTACGAAGCGCGGCTGTTGCAAAGCGCTGCTGCTACAAGGATCTGAGAAGTAAGCGGCACCGGGTCCTCATAAGGCACACTTAGACTTGGACTTCCCTACCATGTACAGTCAGTTTACGCATTTTCGCTTGTTGTGGGCCTCCTTGACTTTGTGTGGCTGTTGAATGTTTGGAGTATTGGAGCTTTTTGCTTGGACCCACACCGCTATGATTCCCCGAACCCAGCCTGAACATACAACCTGCAACCCTGAATGCAGGCGGGCATTTCTTGTCTAACGTCATCTCTCCATATAGAGAAAAGAAGGACACCAAACCAGGACCCCAAAGCCACTTTAAACCATCAACCCTAAACCCTAAACCTAAACCCAAACCATAAACCCTAAACCCTACACCAAAAAACCCTAAACCCTAAACCCTTTTAACCCTGAATCCAGAATCTGCAAAGCCATCCTGTGGCAGCTTGGCCGTGTGGTCGCGTAGACTGGGACCTCTGCAAAATCTGAGGTTTAGAGTTTAAGGGTTTAGGGTTTAGGGTATTGCTTAAGATTTGGGGCTAAGAGATTTTTCATGCTTGGTGGTGAAGGTTTGTAATGGGGTTAGGATGTTAGGGGTCTTGGCTGTTCTAGATGCAGTGTCCCGGGTTTAGTTCGCGGTCTGCGAATAACGGCATCTTTTCCAATTTTTGGATTTGCATACGCGGAAGGCTGAGCATGTACAGGTTCTTGAGGTTGGGGTTCAGGGCTTGGGGCTTGAGGTTTAGTATCAAAAGCATCTTGAATCGATGATGCTTCCTTTCAGTCTATGGCCCAGAGTTGGTCGCTCCTAAGAGGGCACATCTTGACGCCTTCTTCTCCAGCCTAGCAGCGTCAGTCCCTTTGAAGATGATCTACTACATTGACGGAAGGAGTTTTCAGCGGCAAATTCATAATTCAAAGCTACCTGTCACATCTAGCCTATTGCTTTTCATGCTGAAGTGCCTGGATGCTTGCTTGCAAAGCGTGTCTGCTGCATGATGTGCAAGCAATTCTGTTGAGGCTACAGCAAGCAAATTTGAAGTCAGTTGTAGCACCCAGATACCTCAAGTGACCCTTTACTGGGTTGCGGTTAAGGAACTTAAGATAAGTTAGTATATTGGGGAAACCCTATTCTTTACTATATATACCCATTATGGTAGCTTAATTTAAGTTCCTTAACAGCAACCCAGTTTAAACCCGTTGCCCTCAACGCCGGGCTTCAGCATGAGGATGTGCGCACAAACAACGCGAGGCCTGGGGCTCCTGGCTCTGGGAATTCTACTTTTTCACCCGAGTTTCCATCTAATTTCATTGTCCATGTTCTTGTCCATTTGATTTTCCATTTGATTTCCCATGTGATTGTCCATAGGTGATATTATCCATTTGATTTTCCATTCTTGGTATTATTTGTAAACTTGGATCCCTAGGAAGATCCCTGAGCTTGGTGACCCTACCCTTTCTCAGATCTCTCACTACAGCCAGAACCTTGGGAATTTCCAAGGGTCCACTCCTGTAGACCCAAATGTCAATGGGTGCCCCCCAGAAAAAGGTGCCACTGGCTTTTTGGGAGCCCTAAACCCTAAACCCCTAAAACCCTAAAGCCCTAAAACCCTAAATCCCTAAACCCTAAACTCTAAACCCTAAGCTGTTCCCACGTGGCTTAACTTCTCAAACTCAAAACCTTGCTCAGCTTTCCCAAGCACTTCGGGAGTCATGTCTGCCCTCGGCTTTGTTGAACCACAGCACCCATGCTAAACGGCTTGCTACGGCGCCCCACCCTAAAACACAGCCCTTGTTGAAAACTTGGAGTACACTGTAGGCCTGAGCACCAACACCTCAACCCTAAACCCCTAAACCCTAAACCCTATAAATTGGATGTAGGCCTCCCAGGACCTTAGACCCTCCACCGGTGACCGCATAAACTCGTCTTGATGCCCTGGGCCCCCGACCCTCCGCCACGGAGAGAAGCTTCAACGAGCCATCCTCAAAGGTTTTAAGGTAGGGCTTAGGGTTTAGGGTAGGGTTCTATGGCACAGGGGTGTAGGAACCCACAACATCATGGAGGAACAGCAACCCACCAGTCTTTCAACTGGGCGGGCCCTAAACCCTAGACCCTAAACCCTGAGCCCCAAAGGCCAAAGCCCCTAAGCCCTAACCCCTCGATCCTTGCCTGTCCTACAATTGTCAGGAGCTCTGCCGATGTGCAGTTCATAAATGGGGGTTTCCTAAAACTAGGGGTACCGTTATTGGGGGTCCCTAGAACAAGGACTCGAGTATATTGGGATCTATCTGGGGGTCCCCTTATTTTGGGAAACGACCAAATGGAAGGGGGTTATGGGGCTCACGGGTCGTGTGTCTAGGCTGAACAGTTGCAGCCTCGAGGCTTTGCACTTTTCAGGCGTGAAGGAATTTGGCCTGAGGTTGCTTAAGTGCCAACGCTCCCGCATACGTGTATAGGGTTCAGGCTTTAAACTGCTCAGGTTAGGAAGCTTGGAGTTTGAGAGGTTAATGGCTTGGTGGTTTACGGTCTGCGTGGGGTATAGGGCTGTTGTACAAGCATGGTTGAAGTTGCTTACGAGCATGCAGGAAGACTGGATGGACCCCAGTAAGGATCCCTAAGGCCTCCAGACGAGTCAATGCTCACAGAACGTTTGGGAAGACTTAACCCCTTAAATCTTCAAATATTACACCCCTAAACCCCTCAACCCTAAACCCCAAACCCTAAAGATCAGGAGCCCTATCCTCATCTCATCATGTGAGCCCCACACTCCCCAAACATCATGCACTCCAAGGGAACAGGATACCGGAACCCAAAGAAACCCTCCAAACGCTCCGAAAGCAACCTGCAATCCCTTTCTTCCCCAACTCTAAACCATAAACCCTATAGTCCCCCTTAAGGAGATAGAATATGGCTTCGGATATATTATAAGCCCAAGTAGTTGTTACAACTGTGAGCAATAAACCCTAAACCCCAAACCCCAAACATGTTTAACCCGCAGCCAACACAGTTTTGTGCTTGGGGTTTAGGGTTTAGGGGTTTGTTTTTAATGGCTTGAGGTTGTGTGTTTGGGGTTGGGATCAGCCCCGGTGACAATCCCTCTTTTCCTGCAGCAAGGCCCACAAGTACGCTGCAGGGGCGAGTAGTGACTCCCAAACTCCCAAATGCCCTCAATTCTGAGCCCCAAATCCTAACCCCTAGACTGCCCACCCACCCTCCCACCCCCACTCTGCCTGGCAGCGCAGTACTATGAACGGGTCGCAGACACTCGCCTGCACCCTGCGTCAGAAGATTGAGGGTTAGTCTGAGTGCAGGATTTAAGGTTTGGGATTTAAAGTTTAGGATCTAGCTTTTCATTAGGTGGGCCCCCACCCAGTAATAGTGACTATAAGGGACAATGGTAATTATTAGGGTCCCCTTATACTCTTGTGATATCACTATTACAAGGTGAGGGGGTCCACCCAAGTTGTTAATTGAGGCTTAAAGGCTGAGGCTTGGGTGTACGGTGATATGATTCAGGATTTGCATTTATGACGTGGGGTTCAGGGCTTGTCTTTTCTGAGTTTGAGGTTCGGGATTTTTGGGGCTAAGGATCTAAGGTCTGAGTCTAGTATCCGGGATTAAGGAACTGGAATTAGGACTTAGGGGTCAGGATGTAGAGCCTTGGTGTTGTGTCTGGGGAATTGAGGTTTCAGACTCAGTGTTCAGTGTTTAGGGTTTGAAGTTTAACGTTTAGTGTCTAGGCTGTAGGGTCTAGGCATTGTTTGTAGAAGCCTCTGCAATCGGTGCAGGTTGTTCAGGTCCTGCCAGCTTAGGTATTAGAGTCGAGGGTTTGGCGCTTCAGGGTTTAGAGCTTTAATTAGGCTTTAGGGCTTGGGGGTTTAGGTCTTCGACTTTAGAGTTTGGGGGGTCATGACTTTTGCTTTTTGACAGCCACCATTGGAGAGTTTCTCAAAACAGGGGGTCTTTGGGGACTCCAAGAGAGAGATGGCGATTATGCAGCCATAGGACCCATAGGCCTAATTTTGGTGGATGCCATGAAACTTCCATGTATGGTGTAGGCTTGAGGCCACTTTCATGTAGGCCCCGGTGTGACTGGCTTGCCTTGCACCAATAAGAGACCCATTCCCCCCGCCGCAACAACAGGCTTCCAGCAATGCAGTGTAGGTGGACGCAGTACCCAGATAGTGCCTAAAACTCTCCCCTGAGTTCTACCGTATCGCCGGCTCACCAGGCAACCATGCTCAATCCTTTAAACCTCAAGCCCAAAAGCGCAGACCTAAACCCCAAACTTTGA